CACAAAAGGGCCAGCTGCCATCATGTCAGTGATTCTCTCGTTAACACAGGTGAGAGTGTTGACGAGGACAAGGCTGGAGATCACTCTGTCATGCTGATTGAGTTAGAATAACAGACTGGAAGCTTTAAAAGGAGGGTGGTGCTTGAAATCATTGTTCTTCCTCTGTTAACCATGGTTACCTGCAAGGAAACACATGGCGTCATCATTGCTTTGCACAAAAAGGCCTTCACAGGCAAGGATATTGCTGCTAGTAAGATTGCACCTAAATCAACCATTTATCGGATCATCAAGAACTTCAAGGAGAGTGGTTCAATTGTTGTGAAGAAGGCGTCAGGGCGCCCAAGAAAGTCCAGCAAGTGCCAGGACCGTCTCCTAAAGTTGATTCAGCTGCGGGATCAGGGCACCACCAGTGCAGAGCTTGCTCAGGAATGGCAGCAGGCAGGTGTGAGTGCATCTGCACACACAGTGAGGCGAAGACTTTTGGAGGAAAGCCTGGTGTCAAGAAGGGCAGCAAAGAAGCCACTTCTCTGCAAAAGGTACAGGGATTGGACTGCTGAGGACTGGAGTAAAGTCATTTTCTCTGATGAATCCCCTTTACGATTGTTTGGGGCATCCGGAAAACACCTTGTCCGGAGAAGACAAGGTGAGCGCTACCATCAGTCCTGTGTCATGCCAAAGGTAAAGCATCCTGAGACCATTCATGTGTGGGGTTGCTTCTCAGCCAAGGGAGTGGGCTCACTCACAATTTTAACTAAGAACACAGCCATGAATAAAGAATGGTACCAACACATCCTCCGAGAGCAACTTCTCCCAACCATCCAAGAACAGTTTGGTGACGACCAAAGCCTTTTCCAGCATGATGGAGCACCTTGCCGTAAGGCAAAAGTGATAACTAAGTGGCTCGGGGAACAAAACATCGACATTTTGTGTCCATGGCCAGGAAACTCCCCAGACCTTAATCCCATTGAGAACTTGTGGTCAATCCTCAAGAGGCGGGTGGACAAACAAAAACCCACAAATTCTGACAAACTCCAAGCATTGATTATGCAAGAATGGGCTGCCATCAGTCAGGATGTGGGCCAGAAGTTAATTGACAGCATGCCAGGGCGGATTGCAGAGGTCTTGAAAAAGAAGGGTCAACACTGCAAATATTGACTCTTTGCATAAACCTAATGTAATTGTCAATAAAAGCCTTTGACACGTATGGAATGCTTGTAATTATACTTCAGTATATCATAGTAACATCTGACAAAAATATCTCATAACACTGAAGCAGCGAACTTTGTGAAGACCAATACTTGTGTCATTCTCAAAACTTTTGACCACGACTGTAGTGTATATTAAAAACTGATCTAGTTAATATATAATATATAATAGAAATATAATATCTGGGCGTTGCAGTAGGTATACAAACAAGTTTCCATAGTGTTTTACTGGTCAGTAGGTATACAAACAAGGGCCCAGAGTGTTTCCTGGTCAGTAGGTATACAAACAAGGGCCCAGAGTGATTCCTGGTCAGTAGGTATACAAACAAGGGCCCAAAGTGTTTCCTGGTCAGTAGGTATACAAACAAGGGCCCAGAGTGTTTCCTGGTCAGTAGGTAGAGGCTACAACAAGGGCCCAGAGTGTTTCCTGGTCAGTAGGTACAGTTGAAGTCGGAAGTTAACATACACCTTAGCCAAATACATTTCAACTCAGTTTTTCACAATTCCTGACATTTAATCCTAGTAAATATTCCCTGTCTGAGGTCAGTTAGGATCACCACTTTATTTTAAGAATGTGAAATGTCCGAATAATAGTAGAGAGAATGATTTATTTCAGCTTTTATTTATTTCATCACATTCCCAGTGGGTCAGAAGTTTACATACACTCAATTAGTATTTGGTAGCATTGCCTTCAAATTGTTTAACTTGGGTCAAACGTTTCGGGTAGCCTTCCACAAGCTTCCTACAATAAGTTGGGTGAATTTTGGCCCATTCCTCCTGACAGAGCTGGTGTAACGGAGTCAGGTTTGTAGGCCTCCTTGCTTGAACACGCTTTTTCAGTTCTGCCCACACATTTTCTATAGGATTGAGGTCAGGGCTTTGTGATGGCCACTCCAATACCTTGACTTTGTTGTCCTTAAGCCATTTTGCCACAACTTTGGAAATATGCTTGGGGTCATTGTCCATTTGGAAGACCCATTTGCGACCAAGCTTTAACTTCCTGACTGATGTCTTGAGATGTTGCTTCAATATATCCACATAATTTTCCTTCCTCATGATGTCATCTATTTTGTGAAGTTCACTAGTCTTCCTGCAGCAAAGCACCCCCACAGCATGATGCTCCCACCCCCGTGCTTCACGGTTGGGATGGTGTTCTTCGGCTTGCAAGCTACCCCCTTTTTCCTCCAAACATAACGATGGTCATTACGGCCAAACAGTTCTATTTTTGTTTTATCAGACCAGAGGACATTTCTCCAAAAAGTACTATCTTTGTCCCAATGTGCAGTTGCAAACCGTAGTCTGGCTTTTTTATGGCGGTTTTGGAGCAGTGGCTTCTTCCTTGCTGAGCGGCCTTTCAGGTTATGTCGATATAGGACTTGTTTTACTGTGGATATAGATACTTTTGTACCTGTTTCCTCCAGCATCTTCACAAGGTCCTTTGCTGTTGTTCTAGGATTGATTTGCACTTTTCGCACCAAAGTACGTTCATCTCTAGGAGACAGAATGCGTCTCCTTCCTGAGCGGTATGACGGCTGCGTGGTCCCATGGGGTTTATACTTGCGTACTATTGTTTGTACAGATGAACGTGGTACCTTCAGGCATTTGGAAATTGCTCCCAAGGATGAACCAGACTTGTGGATGTCTACAAAAAAATTTCTGAGGTCTTGGCTGATTTGTTTTGATTTTCCCATGTTGTCAAGCAAAGAGACACTGAGTTTGAAGGTAGGCCTTGAAATAAATCCACAGGTACACCTCCAATTGACTCAAATTATGTCAATTAGCCTATCAGAAGTTTCTAAAGCCATGACATCATTTTCTGGAATTGTCCAAGCTGTTTAAAGGCACAGTCAACTTAGTGTATGTAAACTTCTGACCCACTGGAATTGTGATACAGTGAATTATAAGTGAAATAATCTGTCTGTAAACAATTGTTGGTAAAATTACTTGTGTCATGCACAAAGTAGATGTCCTAACCGACTTGCCAAAACTATAGTTTGTTAACAAGAAATGTGTGGATTGGTTGAAAAACAAGTTTTAATGACTCCAACCTAAGTGTATGTAAACTTCCGACTTCAAATGTATAGGCTACAACAAGGGCCCAGAGTGTTTCCTGGTCAGTAGGTATAGGCTACAACAAGGTTCCAGAGTGTTTCCTGGTCAGTAGGTATAGGCTACAACAAGGGCCCAGAGTGTTTCCTGGTCAGGTCAGTAGATCAGGAAACTCTTGTCCCTAATCATCACTGATAATGGATAGACTTGTTATGTATCTACACATCTTGTGGGATAAATAAAGTGTTTTGAATTGAATGGACTTACTCCACATGTTGGAAGACGACCCCGTTGCCAGAGAGGTGCAGCCTGCTGCCCTCCATGTTGCTGTCTACACAGAGCTGTCCCAGAGCCGAGTCCTGGTACCTCACCAACAGGTCAAAGGTCATAATGTACAGAGGCTGAGGGGTCAACTGCTGCTTCATCTCAGGGCAGCCATCTTGAAGCAGCATGATGTCATCACCGATCAATTCTGTGGTAAGAATGACACACTGTAGTTACCAGCATGTTACACCATCGTACAGCATCCCAAATGGCACCCTATTCCCTATATAGTGCACTACGTTTGACCAGAGCCCTGTGGGCCATTATGCACTATATAGGCAACAGGGTGCAATTTGGGACGCATCCTGTGTGAGTCACTTAACCACGCCACCACAGAATCATGTTCATGTCTCACTGTGAATCACATGACATCAGACTTTCATAAACTGTCGCAAAGTTTGTTGTCTTTAATCTATAGCGAACCAAAAGGATGTAATCACTGTGTCATTCTGGACATGAAATAATAGCCTTTTGGCAGTGCTGTGTTATTCTGGACATGAAATAATAGCCTTTTGGCAGTGCTGTGTCATTCTGGACATGAAATAATAGCCTTCTGGCAGTGCTGTGTCATTCTGGACATGAAATAATAGCCTTTTGGCAGTGCTGTGTCATTCTGGACATGAAATAATAGCCTTCTGGCAGTGCTGTGGTCATTCTGGACATGAAATAATAGCCTTTTGGCAGTGCTTGTCATTCTGGACATGAAATAATAGCCTTTTGGCAGTGCTGTGTCATTCTGGACATGAAATAATAGCCTTTTGGCAGTGCTGTGTTATTCTGGACATGAAATAATAGCCTTTTGGCAGTGCTGTGTCATTCTGGACATGAAATAATAGCCTTTTGGCAGTGCTGTGTTATTCTGGACATGAAATAATAGCCTTTTGGCAGTGCTGTGTTATTCTGGACATGAAATAATAGCCTTTTGGCAGTGCTGTGTCATTCTGGACATGAAATAATAGCCTTTTGGCAGTGCTGTGTCATTCTGGACATGAAATAATAGCCTTTTGGCAGTGTTATTCTGGACATTAAATAATAGCCTTTTGGCAGCGCTGTGTTATTCTGGACATGAAATAATAGCCTTTTGGCAGTGCTGTGTCATTCTGGACATGAAATAATAGCCTTTTGGCAGTGCTGTGTCATTCTGGACATGAAATAATAGCCTTTTGGCAGTGTTATTCTGGACATTAAATAATAGCCTTTTGGCAGCGCTGTGATAAAGCTTTAAAAAAGACAGAGGCGCCATATTCCCTATTTAGTGCACTACTTTTGACCTGAGCCCAAAGGGCACAAAAAGTATGCATAAAGAGTTTTGCTGCGAGTCATTTGTGATTAATAACTGGCTGTGTACCAAGTCGTTTCTGTAATGCGTCCATGAAGTCCGTCATGCCAGCCGCTCTGGCCTCCTGGGTCAACCTCTCATGATCACTGAACTCCTCCGGCAGCAAGATCTTTCCAGTCTGAAGATAATTAGCTGAACGGAACACAGACACACATCACTCTCCTCAACGGTTAGGAGACGCTTCTTCTTCACATTCTCAGAGATACACACAGAAATACAGACACATTCACACATTGGCCATACGCTACCACCATAATTTGCAAATAAATTCATAAAAAATCCTACAATGTGATTTTCTGGATTTCTTTTCCTCAATTTGTCTGTCATAGTTGACGTGTACCTATGATGAAAATTACAGGCCTCTCTCATCTTTTTAAGTGGGAGAACTTGCACAATTGGTGGCTGACTAAATACTTTTTTTCCCCACTGTACACATTGGCCATACGCTACCAGTCAAAAAGTTTGGACACACCTACTCATTCAAGGGTTTTTCTTCATTTTTTACAAATTTTTTACATTGTAGAATAATAGTGAAGATATCAAAACTATGAAATAACACATATTTTGGTATTTTATTAGGATCCCCATTAGCTGTTGCGAAAGCAGCAGCTACTCTTCCTGGGGTCCACACAGAACATGAAACATGACATAATACAGAACATTAATAGACAAGAACAGCTCAAGGACAGAACTACATCTCGTAGCCTACATATCAATACATACACACAAACTATCTAGGTCAAATAGGGGAGAGGCGTTGTGCCGTGAGGTGTTGCTTTATCTGTTTTTTGAAACCAGGTTTGCTGTTTATTTGAGCAATATGAGATGGAACGGAGTTCCAAGCAATAATGGCTCTATATGATACTGTAAGCTTTCTGGAATTTGTTCTGGATTTGGGGACTGTGAAAAGACCCCTGGTGGCATGTCTGGTGGGGTAAGTGTGTGTGTCAGAGCTGTGTGTAAGTCGACTATGCAAACAATTTGGGATTTTCAACACATTAATGTTTCTAATAAAAATAATAAGTGATGCAGTCAGTCTCTCCTCAACTCTTAGCCAAGAGAGATTTGCGTGCATAGTATTAATATCAGCCCTCTGTTCTGGGCCAGCTACAGCTTAACTAGGTCCTTCTTTGCAGCACTGGACCACACGACTGGACAATAATCAAGATAAGACAACACTAGAGCCTGCAGAACTTGCTTTGTGGAGTGTGGTGTCAAAAAAGCAGAGCATCTCTTTATTACGGACAGACCTCTCCCCATCTTTACAACCATTTCATCTATATGTTCTGACCATAATAGTTTACAGTCTAAGGTAACGCCAAGTAACATATGGAATCATGGAGTAACCAAAAAAGTGTTAAACAAATCAAAATATATTTTATATTTGAGATTCTTCAAATAGCCACCCTTTGCCTTGATGACAGCTTTGCACACTCTTGGCATTCTCTCAACCAGCTTCATGAGGTAGTCACCTGGAATGCATTTCAATTAACAGGTGTGCCTTCTTAAAAGTTAATTTGTGGAATTTCTTTCCTTCTTAATGCGTTTGAGCCAATCAGTTGTGTTGTGACAAGGTAGGGGTGGTATACAGAAGATAGCCCTATTTGGTAAAAGACCAAGTCCATATTATGGCAAGAACAGCTCAAATAAGCAAAGAGAAACGACAGTCCATCATTACTTTAAGACATGAAGGTCAGTCAATACGGAAAATGTCAAGAACTGTCAAGAACTGGTGACACTGTCTGTGATTTATTTAGAATTCAAGGCACACTTAACCAGCATGGCTACCACAGCATTCTGCAGCGATACGCCATCCCATCTGGTTTGGGATTAGTGGGACTATCATTTGTTTTTCAACAGGATTGTTTTTCAACAGGACAATGAACCAATACACCTTGCATTGAGTTTCCTATGAGCCTGAAGAGAGTAGCTTGCATTGAGTTTCTATTGATGTGTTTTTGGTTGTTATGAGGGTGTAATAAGGGTACGATACTTGTAGAGTTTTCTAGATTTTTAGTTTTAGTATGATTTTAATTTCTTTGTTGGATATGACTGACGGAAAGCTGGAGCTTGTGACAGACACCAAAACATCCGGAATGGGGCGGAACAAGGTTGAGAAGACTCACTGCCCAGAACAGATTTTGATAAGAGATGAGTCGTCGATGGCCTATGGTCCCTTGACCTAAGTCAATCATTAAGTGAAGCTTACCTATGAATCTGAAGAGAGGGCTGTCACACTCGATGACGGCCAGGTCGTCACACAGCCACAGCAGGTTGTGAGGCGTCACCAGTGCGGGGTACAGGCGGACTGTCTCCATGGGAACGAAGCAGTACAGCGCCTCCTCATCACCGTCGACCAGAGGAGTCCCCACCAAACCCAGGGGTACCGCGTCATGAACTACACAACAACACAACAACACAGTGACATCATATTGTAGCAATCCTTGCCTGTGTAAGCAAGGTAGGAGCTTCCTCCAGTGGGTATTGGGAGTAGTTAAGACAGTTTGCCTACAGTCTGGGAAGCCCGGGTTCAAGACTGGTGAGGGACTTTAGCTATTGTCCAGCCATAATAACATGTATTGAGCTTGTGCTGGTGTTACCTACCTGAGGACACTGTTAGGGGGGGTCTACCTGAGGCCTGGGCTTACCTACCTGAGGACACTGGGCTGGCTAGGGGTTCAGGCTGTCTGGTGTTACCTACCTGAGGACACTGGGCTGGCTAGGGGGGCCTACTGAGGACACTGGGCTGGCTGGGGTAGGGGGGAGGACACTGGGGGCTACAGGCTGTTGGTACCTACCTGAGGACACTGGGCTGGCTAGGGGGGGCCTACCTGAGGACACTGGGCTGGCTAGGGGTTCAGGCTGTCTGGTGTTACCTACCTGAGGACACTGGGCTGGCTAGGGGGGCCTACCTGAGGACACTGGGCTGGCTAGGGGTTCAGGCTGTCTGGTGTTACCTACCTGAGGACACTGGGCTGGCTAGGGGGGGCCTACCTGAGGACACTGGGCTGGCTAGGGGTTCAGGCTGTCTGGTGTTATAGATTCTGGTCTTCCAGTAGTTCAGAGTGGCTCTCTCAGTCACCTGTAGGTCTACTGGCCGGGCTCGCAGGAAATGCTTCCCTGACTTGAGGTTCTCTAAGGCCTGGTGGGAAATGAACAGAGGACATAAATCATGAGTAGGCCCACTTCATATCAAATCAAATCAAATGTTATTTGTCACATACAGTTTACAGCACCGGGTATAAAAGCTCCCTCAACATTGCAGTACAGTATCAATATCAATAATAGTCAAATTCTAATAAAAAAGAACAAGTAATTAGAGGAAGGTAGTATGCATAGTAATACAATTGATATGTACACAATAGGATATACAGTATAAATTATGATAGAGTAAACATGAAATATTTTAGACATAAGTTAACTTATTCTTAAAAGCTTGTCCAGTATAATTGTATGTTAGACTCAATGATGTAGTACAATGTCTTTTGACCAATCACATCAGATCTTTCACATCAAATCTTTTTCAGAGGTGATCTGATTGGTCAAAAGACCAATTAGTGAAAAAAATCTCAGAATTGGGCTGCCCGTCTAAATGCAGCCTTATTGTTTTGACCTTGATTGAATGATGTTGCGAAAAACAACAGTAGCCTAGCTGCCTTTCTTTACCACATAAGGCAGACTAATAATCATGCATGTCCTTTACTTTGCAAACAGCAAGGGGTTGATTGATTAATTGATTTACCTGTAGCAGTGACGTTAGGCGTAGACCTGCAGTAAGCTCATATAAAATATTTAGTTCTGATACACATGATGAAGCTAGTTTTCCAGTTTGTAGATAATAATGTACATGTCTGAATGTGCATCCGTCTCTGTCGATAAACCATCGTGGAGTCTGATCAGAAGAAGTGTCTTTGAACAGCAAGGAGTCTTGAAGGTGAGAAAGTCGGTTGAGCTGGATGGAGAAAAAACATCCACCAACATTGAAGGAGCAAAATTGATTGTCCTGCTCAGTTGCCATTTGGCATTAGTAGCTTACTCTTTTACAAACTTTGCGCAAAATCCAGACAAGAAACAGTAAGCTAGCTATAAACCTAGCTAGCAGCAACTATGGTCTCCTCTCCTAGTCCTCTTCACTTTGCCCGTTGCTAACACCTGGCTAGCTAGCAAAATCACCGCAATTCATTATTCATCAGCTATCTTTTAGCTACCTTCTTCCTACTCAATCTTTGTAGTAGCCTATTTTAGCAAATTGTTGAAAACATGCACTACTGTTTGAAAAGATAGGCGGGTTATTTGCGAAGAAAGCAGAGTTTGTAGTCAGTTGACCGCTGTCTGAGAGGAGCCGTTTTATCTGGAACGACGTGACGTCATTTACATTGGAGCTCGCGCGTGACGTCATTCATCTCACGTGAAAGGAGGAAAACCAAGCAGCTTTGGAGGTTGATTGAAAACATCACTTTGTTATCATGTAATTACATAAATGACATACAGAAAAAGTGTATTATGATAACTAACATGATCTTTCCTTGGAAGTGAGGTGATGTGGTGAACATTTTTTATTTGATAAATGCATTTGAGTGCATATAAAAACCCGGCCTATTACAAAGACATTTTGCAATAGGCCTGTATTTCACAGTATGCCAAACATAGCCTACAAAGTTTACAGAGTAAGCTTTATTAATTAGAACGCAGTACAATCTGGACAAAGGCTTGGCTACTCAGGGGTAGGCTATGAATTGATCTCCGATGTTGAAGTCATTAGATTAGTCTGCTGGCTGGATTCTCTGGACTCTGGACTCTGGACTTCTGTTGTGTGTTCATTTAGATGTCCCAACAGAGAGTTATTATTGGACACCAAACACCTGTGGAAAATACATGACAAAAAGCTGAGTCTTGGCACAGACTTTTGACGGACAGAATTTTGAGTTAATTGTATGTGTGTGTGTGTGTGTGTGTGTGTGTGTGTGTGTGTGTGTGTGTGTGTGTGTGTGTGTGTGTGTGTGTGTGTGTGTGTGTGTGTGTGTGTGTATTGACCTGTGATTGCCCTGTAGAAGCACCATGGTCTGTTCCAGCTGTCTCAGGTGTGTCTCCTGCTCTCTCAGAGCATTCACCTGTCTCTGTAGACACCTGTCCCACTGCCTGCCACCTACACACACTCACACACAAGCACGCACGTGCACACACACACACACATACACATACACAGAGAGTGAGAGCAGAGAGTGAGAGCAGAGTGAGAGCAGAGAGAGAGAGAGAGAGAGAGAGAGAGAGAGAGAGAGAGAGAGAGAGAGAGAGAGAGAGAGAGAGAAGAGAGAGAGATACTTGTCCACACCATCCCAAAGACATACACTGTGTCATAGCCAAGGCAACTCACAGTTGGTCTCAGCAGTGGTAGAGGAGTCCTGCTTCAGGCTGGTTAGTCTCAAGTTGTAGTTTTCTTTCAGCGCCTCAACAAGCCTTTTCTTCAGGGATTCCTGCAACACAGACAAATAGAGACGCCGAGGGGACAAATCCTTAATTCCACTTAAGATGAATTTTCACTTAGTCATGCGTTGATGTCAACGGGAGATTAAGTGACATTTTTTTTGACTTAAATGGAAGTTAGGATTTTGCCCCCTGAGAGAAGATAATTTAGGTCAGGATTTAACCTAATTCAATTCAGATTCTGGTGCCAAATTATTGTCTGTTTTGCTCTATGGGCCATGGTCAAAAGTAGTGCACTATATTCAGTAGGGAATAGGGTGGCATTTGGGACGCAACCCTAGTGTTGTTGAGGTACTAACCAGCTGCTGTTGTGTGACGGTCAGCTTCCTCTTCAGGAGAGCTATTTCACTGCACTGTGGAGTCACATCAGCAGGACTCCCACTCTGTTCTCCTCCTCCTCTGTTCTGTCCGTCTCCCTTCTGTTCTGTCTCTCTCAGACAGGGAGCAGCAGGAGGTGATCCCAGGGCAGAGAGCAGGTCGTAGGCCTGGCCTGGAGAAGACAGAAGACAGGAAGTGACACAGTCTGAGAACAGTGTCTAGAAAGTTTCTTGTTAGGTTGCAATGCCAAGCATAGGACTAACTCGTTTCTTAGTCTGAGAAAAAAACATCTAGAATGGTTACAATGGCAGGCCTGATTCATCAGTTTGTGTGAGTGATGATGACGATACAGTGGTCAAAAGTAGTGCACTACATATGGAATAGGGTGCCATTTGGGACGTAGGGTAGTCACTGATTGTGTACCCAGGAAGCTGGGGTTGAGGTGGAGGGAGCGTGTGCCAACCCAGTGCTGGTCCACCAGGTCCAGGAGTCCTCTCAGGGAGGAGGAGAGCTCTGCCACCCCAGGCTGAGGTGAGGGGTTCCTGGGCACAGAGTGGCAGTCACCAAGCCCTGGTCTGGAGCTCTGGAAATACAATGGTAAGGCCTTAACGTTCGAGTGAAAACAGAAGTTTGTCACGACGGCCACATTTAAAAAAAATATCCTTGTTTCAATAACAATAAGACGGGGCAATGTTTCTAACGCTGTGATCTCGCCTCACTAGAAAGTTACTCTTTCTACGTTAGATTTAGTGTTTTAGGCCGACCGAGCGCCGGACCAAATTGTCTGTGTGTGCGTCACTGTGTTGTGAGAGGGAATGTATTGAGATAAGACCGGGTTCCCACTCCTCTCACATTACTAACGCTCCACCCAAATGGTAGCCTATTCCATTTATAGTGCACTACCCCATAGGGCCCTGATAAAAAAGTAGTGCACACTATATAGGGAATAGGGTGCCAATTTTGACCCAACCCTAATGCTCCTAACCCAACACTCCCTCCAGAACCCTTTTTAAGCCACAGGTCCTCCTCCTCAGTACCCTATGTCCAATTTCCCTGCCAATCACACAGGTAACCCAATATTTTCACAGCGAATTACTCTCCTTGGTTATGAACAGATAAGAGAGGCCTCAAAGCCAGCGTTGTCTTACCCAAACGCTCATCCCTCAATTAAACGAGCTTTCTCAAATAAATGTCTCCATTTCCCAAGGCAGTAAGACTTAATTCCGTTTGGGGAGATTGCTCTCCATGGGGGGGTTTGGCTTGGGGATGTGAGAAATACTGTCAAACCCACGTAGGCTTACTGTAGGGCCACGGACCACAGGCTCCCTGCATTAGCATTAAGGCCTGTCACCTCATGCAACAACCAAGGTGCTTTGGAATGACTGTAATGGAATAATTGGGGCTGCTGCTATTCTAGTGCTGTTGACGCAGGCAGCTGTTGACCCACTATACACCACTGAGCAGTGACCACAAAGCTTCTGATGGCACTTCTGTAATCAAACTGTAGGCTACTTTTGATATGGTCCCGTGTAGCTCAGTTGGTAGAGCATGGTGCTTGCAACGCCAGGGTTGTGGGTTCGATTCCCACGGGGGGGACCAGTATGAAAAAAAATGTATGCGCTCACTAACTGTAAGTCGCTCTGGATAAGAGCGTCTGCTAAATGACAAAAAAAAATGTACATGTAAAAACATGTGTGTGTTGTATAAAAATATCAGTAATTAAAGTTGGCACATATTTGCATTCACTATAAGTTGTTCAGGGTTGGAACATGTGCTGACTAACTTTGTCCCTGTTGTCTCTGGCTGGAGCAGCCTCAAATCAAACTAGAATATAAATGTAAATGTTGACCTGTGTAGCGCTGACAGAGTTGTATCTGGTGCCTGTCTGCAGGTCAGACCCTAGGGGAGGTGGGCTGTAAAGGCCAGAGTAGAGACCGGACCCAGCAGCCTGACCAGTGGAGTCTACTGGACCAGGGGGAGTAAGAGCGTCCAGGCAGCTCTGCTTCATGCTCTGTCTCTGGGGAGATCCTCCATGTTGAGGCCTGGAGGCCTGCTGAAGCCTGGGGCTCTGGTGATTCAGCAGCCTGTCCACAGAGACACTCCGTGGGGCTGGACTCTGGCACCGACTGGCCCCTTCAGAGAACCGCCGGAGGACAGTGGAGTCGTCTGACAGGTGAGTGGCTACATGCAGGTCTTGAGTGGGAAGGAGACATAAACACACTCATCTCTTAGAGAAGAAGCTTGGTCTGAAGAGGAGATAAAGACTGGTGTCCTAAATGTCACCGTATTCCCTATACAGTGCACTACACACCTTGGTCCAGGGTCTATAGGGAATAGAGGGTGCTGTTTGGGACGTAGCCAATGACTAGGAGACCACTACTACCATTGACCCTGGTCTGTACAGTTCTCTTACATGGGGTATTTAGTTTCCTTGTACAAGTGTGCCCTCTAGTGGCTAAAATGAAACATGAGCGTAAATTACGGAATACGTTTTCACAAGGAAAATGCAACGAGTAGACCCAGTCATGAACCTGCTGTTAGTGACACCACTACTACTACTACACAGTGATATCACCAGATAGTAATGGTCCACTTTCCAGATACTGGCTGTGAGTTGGTTATCACCATATACTGTTAATTACTGCATTATACTGCATTTTACTTAGAAGAATATTATAAACAACTGTACTCTAAATGACTGTTGGTAATTGATTAGCCTTCTAACCTGAGGTGAGCCTCAGCAGTCTGCTGGTCCGGGCCTCCAGGTCCAGCTCTGTATCTCTGGGAGGTGGTGAAGCCAGGGGCTGGAGTAGTTGAGTCAAGCTGGAGGAGAGGGAGGGCCAGTGGGCATGGCTGCACTCGGAGGCCCAGGCTTTTGGGGCCTGTACCGGGTCTTGTGGCTCTGGGTCCGTCTCCAGTGGGGGGGTCCATGGGGCCTGTCCGCTGCCCACAGGGGCATCATACGGCTGGAGGTGGGGCTGGAGGTGGGGCTGGAGGTCCTGAGGGTCAGGTGTGGACACGTCTGAGGTGTTGTAGTCACTGGAACAGTCCTGAGCGAAGGTCACCCTGCCTCGGACTCGGCCTCTGGAGCGGGTTGGAGAGCGACCGGAGCGCAGAGAGGAGCGAGGGGGAGAGGACAGGGGCTGGAACTCTGAACCACAGTTATGAGCAGTGTTAGAGGGAGTAAAGTTGTGATGTTTCTCTCTATGTTTGTTGATTGGGCTGTTCTTTAATCATTAGTCCTGAACAAGACAAACACACGTCTACCACCTGCTGTATGTCTTTGGTACACAGATGTGAAATGTTGATCTGAAATGGCAGTGCAATCCAAACTCTCCCTGTAGGTCCATGTCCTTACCCTCTCCCTGTAGGTCCATGTCCTTACCCTCCCCTGTAGGTCCATGTCCTTACCCTCTCCCGTAGGTCATGTCCTTACCCTCTCCCTGTAGGTCCATGTCCTTACCCTCTCCCTGTAGGTCCATGTCCTTACCCTCTCCCTGTAGGTCCATGTCCTTACCCTCTCCCTGTAGGTCCATGTCCTTACCCTCTCCCTATAGGTCCATGTCCTTACCCTCTCCCTGTAGGTCCATGTCCTTACCCTCTCCCTGTAGGTCCATGTCCTTACCCTCTCCCATACTGTAGGTCCATGTCCTTACCCTCTCCCCTGTAAGGTCATGTCCTTACCTCCTCCCTATGGTTCCATGTCCTTACCCGCCTCCCTACTGTCGGTCCATGTCCGTGACCCTCTCTCCATACTGTAGGTCCATGTCCTACCCTCTCCCTGTAGTCCCTTCCTTACCCCGTCCCTATCGGTCCATGTCCTTACCTCTCCCTGTAGGTCCATTCCTTACCCTCTCCCTGTAAGTCCATCCATGTCCTTACCCTCCATCCCTGTAGTCCTGTCCTTACCCTCATCCCTGTAGTCCATGTCCGTACCCTCTCCCTATAGGTCATGTCCTTACACATCTCCCTATAGGTCCTTCCTTACCCTCATCTCTCCCGTAGGTTCCATGTCCTACCCTCTCCCTACTGTAGGTCCCTGTCCCTTACCCTCTCCCTGTAGGTCCATGTCCTTACCCTCTCCCTGTATGTCCATGCCTTACCATCTTCATACGTAGGGTCCATGTCCTTACCCTCCTCCCTGTAGGTCCATGGGGGGGGGGGGGGCCATTTCCTTACCCCTCCCTGTAGGTCCATGTCCTTACCCTCTCCTGTAGGTCCAGGTCCTTCAACCCCCATCCCTGTAGGTGGTCCATGTCCTACCCTCTCCCTGTAGGTCCCCTGTCCCTTACCCTCTCCCTGTAGGTCCCATGTCCTTACCCTCTCCCCTGTAGGTCCATGTCCTTAGCCCTCTCCCTATAGGGTCCCTGTCCCTTACCCCCCTCCCTGTAGGCTCCATGTCCTTACCCTCTCCCGTAAGGTCCCTGTCCTTACCCTCTCTCTGAGGTCCATGTCCTTACCCTCTCCCTGTAAGGCCATGGTCCTTACCCTCTCCCTTGTAGGTCCATGTCCTTACCCTCTCGCTGTAGGTCCTGTCCTTACCCTTCCTCCCTTGTAGTCCATGTCTTACCCTCTCCTGTAGGCCATGTCCTTACCCTCTTCCATACTGTAGGTCCATGTCCTTACCCTCTCCCTGTAGGTCCATGTCCTTACCCTCTCCCTGTAGGTCCATGTCCTTACCATCTTCCATACTGTAGGTCCATTGTCCTTAACCCTCCTCCCTTAGTCCATGTCCTTATCCTCTCCCTGTAGTCCATGTCCGTACCCTCTCCCATACTTGTATGTCCATGTCCTTTACCCTCTCCCGTGTAGGTCCCTGTCCTTACCCTCTCCCTGTATGTCCATGTTCCCCTTACCCTCTCCCTGTAGGTCCATGTCCCTTACCCTCCTCCCTGAGGTCCATGTCTTACCTCTCCCTATAGGTCCATGTCCTTACCCTCTCCCTGTAGGTCCATGTCCTTACCCTCTCCCTTAGGTCCAATTTCCTTACCCCTCTCCCTGTAGGTCCATGTTCTTAACCCTCTCCCATACTGTAGGTCCATGTCCTTAACCCTCTCCCTGTAGGCCCTGTCCTTACCCTCTCCTATAGGTGATCGCATGTCCTTACCCCGCCCGTCAGGTCCATGTCTTCCCTCTCCCTGTATGTACATGTCCTTACCCTCTCCCTGTAGGTCCTCATGTCCCTGACCCTCATCCCTGTAGGTCCTGTTTCCTTACCCGCTCCCTATAGGTCCATGTTCCTTACAACTCTCCCTCTAGTTCCATGTCCTTACCCTCCTCCCTAGTAGTTCCATGTCCTTACCCTCGCCCATACTTAGGTCCATTCCTTACCCTCCCCTGTAGGTCCATGTCCTTTCCCTCTCCTGTAGGTCATGTCCTTACCCTCTCCCTGTAGGTCCATGTCCTTACCCTCTCCCTGTAGGTCCATGGTCCTTACCCTCTCTCCCTGTAGGTCCCATTCCTTACCCTCTCCCTGTATGGTCCATGTCCTTACCCTTCTCCCTGTAGGTCCATGTCCTTAACCTCCCCTGTAGGTCCATGTCCCCTTACCCTCTCCCTGTAGGTTCCATGTCCTTACCCTCTCCATACTGTAGGTCCATGTCCTTAACTCCTCTCCCTGTAGGGCCAGTCCTTAACCCTCTCCCCTGTAGTCCATGTTCCTTACCCTCTCCTGTAGGTCCCATTCCTTAACCTCTCCCTATAGTCATGTCCTTACCCTCTTCCATACTGTATGTCCATGTCCTTAGCACTCTCCCTGTAGGTCCCGTCCTTACCCTCTCCCTGGTAGGTCCATGGTCCTTACCCTCATCCCTGTATGTTCCAGGTCCCTTACCCTCTCCCTGTAGGGGCCCCTGTCCTTCCCCGCTCCTCGCCCTGTCGGTCCATTCCTTAGACCCTCTTCCCTGTAGGTCCATGTCCTTACCCTCTCCCTGTAGGTCCATGTCCTTACCACCCACTCCCTGTCTGTCCTGTCCTTACCTCTCCCATACTGTAAGGTCCTGTCCTTACCCTCTCCCTGTAAGGTCCAGTCCTTACCTCTCCCTGTAGGTCCAATGTCCCTTACCCTCTCCCTGTAGGTCCATGTCCTTACCCTCCCCATACTGTCGGTCCATGTCTTACCCTCTCTATATTTTACCCTCTCCCTGTAGGTCCATGTCCTTACCCTCTCCCATACTGTAGGTCCATGTCCTTACCCTCTCCTGTAGGTACCATGTCCCTTACCCTCTCCCTGTAGGTCCATGTCCCTACCCTCTCCTCCCATACTGTAGGTCCCATGTCCTTACCCTCTCCCCTGTAGTCCGATGTCTTACCTCTCCACCCTGTAGTCATGTCCTGGAGAGAAACCCTCTCCCTGTAGGTCATGTCTTACCCTCTCTCCCTGTAGGTCCATGGCCTTACCCTCTCCCTGTAGGTCCATGTCCCTTACCCTCTCCCTGTAGTTCCATGTCCTTACCCTCGTCCCTGTAGTCCATGTCCTTACCCTCTCCATACTGTAGGTTCCATGTCCGTTCCCCTCCCCTGTAGGTCCATGCTTAACCCTCGATCCCTGTAGGTCCATGTCCTTACCCCTCTCCCTGTATCCATGTCCTTAACCCTCGTCTCCCATACTGTAGGTCCATGTCCCTTACCACCCTCTCCCTGTAGGTCCCATGTTCTTACCCTCTCCCGTAGGTCCATGTCTTGCACCCTCTCCCTGTAGGTCCATGTCCTTACCCTCTCCCATACTGTAGGTCCATGTCCTTACCCTCTCCCTGTAGGTCCATGTCCTTACCCTCTCCCGTACTGTAGGTCCATGTCCTTACCCTCTCCCTGTAGGTCCATGTCCTTACCCTCTCCTTAGGTCCCATTTCCTTACCCTCGCCGTAGGTCCATGTTTTCCCCCCCCCCCCTTACCCTCTCCCTGTATCCATGTCCTTACCCCTCCTCCCATACTGTCGTTCCATGTTCCCCTTACCCTCTCCCTATAGGCCATGTCCTTACCCTCTTCCCTGTAGTCCCTGTCCTTAAACCCTCTCCTTGTAGGTCCCATGTCCTTACCCTCTCCCTGTAGGGTCGCCTGTCCTTACCCTCTCCCATACTGTAGGTCCATGTCCTTACCCTCTCCCTATAGGTCCATGTCCTTACCCTCTCTCCTGTAAGGTCTTTCCTTACCCTCTCCCTGTAGGTCCATGTCCTTACCCCTCCCTGTAGGTCGCATGTCCTTACCCCTCTCCGCATACTGTCAGGTCCATGTCCTTAACCCTCTCCCGTGTAGGTCCTGGTCCTTACCACCTCTCCCTGTAGGTTCCTGTCCTTACCCTCTCCCTGTAGGTCCATGTACTTACCCTCTCCCATACTTGTAGGTCCATTTCCTTACCCTCTCCCTGTAGGTCCATGTCCTTACCCTCCCCTTTAAGGTCCATCCTTTACCGCTCTCCCTGTAGGTCCATTCCTTACCCTCTCCCTGTAGGCCAGGTCCTTACCCTCTCCCTGTAGGTCCAGTGGTCCTTACCCTCTCCCTGTAGGTCCATGTCCTTTACCCTCTCCCTGTGGTCCCATGTCCTTACCCTCTCCCATACTGTAGGTCCATGTCCTACCCTCGCCCCTGTAGGTCGCATTCCTTACCCTCCTCCCTGTAGGATCCATGTCCTTACCCTCTCCTTAGTCCATGTCCTTACCCTCTCCCTGAAGTCCATGTCCTTACCCTCTCCCTATAGGTCATGTCCTTACCCTCTCCCATACTGTGGTTCCATGTCCTTTACCCTCTTCCTGTAGGTCCCATGTCCTTACCCCTCCCTATAGTCCATGTCCTTAACAACTCTCCCATAGGCCCATGTCCTTATACCCTCTTCCGTAGGTCTGTCCTTGACCCTCTCCCTATAGGTCCATGTCCCTTACCCTCTCCGCTTAGGGTCCATGTCCTTACCTCTCCCTGTAGGTCAGTCCTTAACCCTCTCCCTATATGTCCATGTCATTACCCTCGTCCCTGTAGGGCCATGTCTTACCCTCCTCCTGTAGGTCCATGTCCTTACCCTCTCCCATACTGTAGGTCCATGTCCTTACCCTCTCCCTGGTAGTCCATGTCTTACCCCTCCCTTAGGTCCATGTCTTACCTCTCCTGTCGGTCCATGTCCTTACCCTTTCCCATCTGTATGTCCATTTCCTTACCCTCTCCCTGTAGGATCCATGTCCTTTACCACCCTCCTCCCTGTGGTCCATGTCCCCTTACCCCTCTCCCTGTAGGTCCATGTCCCTTACCCTCCTCCTGTAGGTCCATGTCCTTACCCTCGCCCATACTGTAGGTCCATTCCCTTACACCCTCTCCCTGAGTCCATGTCCTTACCCTCTCCCCCTGTAGGTCCATGTCCTTACCCTCCTCCCCATACTGTTGTCCATGTCCTTACCCTTCCCTGTAGGGTCCATGTCCTTAACCCTCTCCCTGTAGGTCCAGTCCTTACCCTCTCCCTGTATGTCCATGTCCTTACCCTCTCCATACTGTAGGTCCATTCCTTACCCTCTCCTTTAGGTCCATGTCCTTACCCTCTCCTCCTGTAGG